TTGCGTTTCTTACACTATTTACGTTGTTTACATTGTTTACATATTTTACGTTTTTTACATTTTTCGTTTAAAATTTAGCTTAATCAAATAAATATAATTGTGATAAATAAGTTATTGTATAAATTAAATATATGTACCTAAATTGAATAAATACACAATACTAAGAGCAGCACACGTATACAATAAGGAAACATAAAACCTCTTATGATGCGCACAAAATCTCGTTAAATCAACGTTACAATATCTTCGTAAATAACTTTTACCTAACATAAATTTCGACATTCGTTATATCCAAGGATAAATTGAAAAATTTACATAATTTTGAATGTTTATAGATTGTCTTAATTTACTTTGTCATCATGCAAAAGAGCCACCAAACGAAGTTAGTCTAATTACATATATACTCATTAGTCTTTTCATTTTGAAAAATGAATTCACCACTCAAATCTTCGAGAAAATTTGACCAACAAAACTATAGTGGACAATAACTAACTAACTAATTACATATTCAGCCTCCGGCCCTGTTCGATTTTATTATTATTTTATTTATATTGTGTAAATACATAATATACGTACGTACAATGTCAATTAGATATTTGTATATAAAATGAAATTATATTTTTTATATATGGATATGTTTGTACATCCTTAATATGTTTATGTAAATATTTATAAAAATGTTTCCATATTCTTTCTATCATTTCATTATAATTTTTTTTTCTCTCTTATAACCACAATCATTAAATAAATAAATCAGATTTTAATCCTTTCAGTTTTTCATAATAAATACGTACATACATATGTGTATTTACATACCTACATATACAAATATAATATTAAGGTAAATATTATATACATACAATATATATTTCAAATATATATATATACATAATATTACAAATACATTTGCAAATGTACTTATTAAATTTGCTGTCATCATATTTCAAAATATAAAGGGAAAATATAATTTACCAATACATTTACAAGTTATTTTATATATATACTCGTATATCTACATATATTATGTATATTTGTATATGGATATATAGTTATCTACTCATATTATTTTAAATTAATGTTTGACCTTGAATATTTTGTTATTGACGTCCTTTAATATCTCAATAATACTACATATTATATGTATGTATTTACGATACAATTTACCTATATATATATATATAAACTTGAAAAAGAAAAATTATTATTGTATATGTGTATGTTATTTAATTTCTTCTTAAAATTTTTATTATCTGTTTTTTGTTATAAATTTTCACTAATATACAATTTTATATATATGATTACGACACACAAGTAATTACAAAATATAACACATATGTATATACTTACGTACGTAAGTACCAAACATGTGTCTTTCAGTTTTAAAATCTAATTAAATTTCCATATATATAAATTTTTATTTTATTTAATTTTTAAGTGTTTTTAAGAACGTGTTAGTATGCAAAAATACGTACGTACACATATACATTACATATTGTATAAGGAGTGTCTTACATTCAAGTGTAAATTTCTATACGAGCGCGGTGTAAAAATTTATTCCAAAAATGTAGAAGGTCGTATACAGTAAAGGTACATGCAACTGTACTACAAGTAAACTGAGGAGTTTTTTTATGTTATAATTATTGTGTATTGCTTGTTTAATTATATTAAAATTTTAATTTTTCACGTAGTCATTAAAGTTAAAATGATGTAAGAACTTCAAAAAATTCTTATTTTGAAGCCAAATCAATTTTAGAATAATTCCTTATACTTAATATAGTATATATAGTAGAAACAAAATTATTTTTAAAATGCAACTTTAGATGTTCGATTGTTTTGAATGTCATCAAAAGTTCCTAATCGTAAGCCTGCATAGAGTCCTTATTAGCAATTATACAGTAATATTAATATATCATGCCCATTAAATCGATTATCATAATAAGGTCAGGGCTGATTTCTTGTGCTCTGAAAAGGATACAACCACAACTTCAGTCGCAATACAAGTCAGAAAAACTCATCACGTTTCATTGCAAGTAGATCAACCGAATACCGTTAAATACATTAAATTCGCATAGAATATCTTGCCTTCCATATGAGATAACCAGTTAAATTAATCTGTCTGATTAAATTAATAAAAATGGCTTCTCAATTTCTAATGATCCATTAGGACACCAACTCAAATTGTCTTCTTCCCTCTGTACGTCTTGACTTTTACACAATTATAATCTCAAATTTTGTGTAAATGTAATAATAGATTCATTAACTGGACAACTTGTTAATTGAATAATTAAAATAAAAACAATAATAATAATAATAATACTATGTTGCAAATATTTTAAAAATAATTATGGTTATGATTTTGATTATTTGATTATCATATTAAAATTTAATATTTAATTTTTTAACAAACACAAAATTCAAATGAAAATGGTTTCCTTATTATAAAGATTTTCAATATCCTTTGGCTACAAAAATTATAAACATCAAAGTAATTGTAAAATTATTTTTTACCTTTTATAATATTGTTATCGTATATATTTATTATGTATTCAATGTCTATATCTAGTAAATTTTCTTAAGCACCTTTATTTGACACTTATCTTATATTATATATTATTATTTAGGTATATAAGAATATTTTAAATTACAGATGCCAGATAAATAAAGAATTTCTTTTATACAAAAAAAATTTTATTTAATAATGAAAATTAAATACGGGAATTTAAACCACAATTCTACCATACAATAATTAAATTTTAATAAAAAAGAAGAAAGGAATATAGAAAACAAAAGTGTAAACAAAAAAAAAAATTTTGTTTTTGTGAAAGAAGAATAAGTGAGAAAGAGTAAGAAAATAATAAAATTAAAATTTTCATCTTTTGTATTTATAAAACTGTAAAAATCTATTTATTTTTGTTTGTTCTCACTTTAATCCTGATATGTGAATGTATTGTACAAGAAAAGAGTTGAAAATTACAAAATTCGTAGAACAGTTTTCCGAATACAGAAAGTTGAACGAAGGTTTTTTATATATATGGTATATTAAAAAATTACTTATAATCAAAATGTGCAATGCGGTTCCCATACTAAATAATGGCGTTTTCCAGAATACGGACTTGATGCTAGCTTGACTTATTCGTTAATACAATTTGTGCTCTAACGAAATTTAAATAATGAATTAACCCGACTACTGGAACAGTTTTAAAGAATCAAAGCAAAGCAAGTATATCAATAGTAATAACAAGTTTCAATAGGAATAGTAAATAATATCTCAATGCCAATCTCTCTTATATTGATGACACAAGTAGTTCATGTGAGAATTAAATGAGCTCATTAAAATAAATGCAAAATTACAATGCAATGCATTCATTTTATTGCTTTACATTGCTTTCATTTTATGTATCATTAAACTCAATTTTATAAACTGTTCACATTGTTCCAGCAACAGAACTCACTATACAAAAATTTTACAATCAGTACAAACCGGATAAACCTCCCACACTTTATAAAATGCAAAAAAATCGGGAAAATTTAATATGTGGAACATAATATATGTTATTTTTTTGTAACTCACTCTGTTGCTAAAATCTCTTAGTTATTTTACCATCATAGTTATTATAGGGGTTTAAAAGAATACTCTATACATATTCATATAGAAGTTTATAGAAACTATGCATATAACAGAACTTTTAAAATTTTAAACCAATTTTTAATTTAAAAAAAAATTTTTTTTTCCTAATTTCCCAACACCATCAGAATAATTTTTTTTTTTACTTTTTTTTTTGCAGGTATTAAAACAATTAAAAATTTCGGTTTTAATTTTATACCTTTTTCATCTTTACAGGGAAATGGTTTCATTTTATATAAATGATAATTAAATTCTAAAGAAATATAAGATTTAAAATGTCATAGGATTAAAATGATGATCCTGGAATCCTTATGGAAATTATAATGGTATATAAAGAAAAGAGAAATAAAGGTATGTGTAATAGAGAGAGTTAATTTTGAAATTAGAATTTTTATAGTGCAACTTGTTGATGAAATTTTTTTTAGAGTGTGAGTTTGAGTGTAAGTGTGATTTTGTTTTTGCGTCTCTTTATTTTTGAAAGGTTAAGATAAAAAATATCAACTAAATTGACAAAAAAAAATATTTTTTTTTTTATTTAGAATATTTAAAATCTTTTGTTGTTGTTTGAGGAAAAAAAAGGATTTAAGAGCCAAAAAAGTTTTAAGGAAATTATTTTTTTTTTATTTATTTTTTTATTTTAAACAATAATTGGAATGAAGTTTGATCCCGGCATTAAATGAAGAACTTTAAAATGTTTAGGTATTGAAAAGTAGACAGAGCAAATACATTTTAAAAATTAAAAATTTTGAGAGATAAAAGAGTAAAATTGAAAAGACAGGAAAAGAGAGAAAGAGAGAAAAGAGAAAGAAGTTTATTGCGTGTTTTATTTCCGTTGAAAAGATATTAAAAATTAATGAAAAATAAAAGCAAAAAATTATTGTCTCCGGGGAAAACTTATTGAGAATTTTGTTTTTTTTTTTTGGATGCCATTATAATAATGATTTTTTTATGCTATAAAATTTTACAAGAATTTCTTCTTAAAAGTGAAATTAATTTATGCGTATTTTCTTTAAAATTTCAATATTAAATTTTTTACAATATAATTACTATAAAAATATTTTCAGCCTCAAAGGAAATATGAAAATCAAAAATATATCGCCAGAGTCAGGAAACACTTACAAGAAGAATTGTTAAGAAATTCAGGAAATATTTATATATAATTATTAACAAAATTTTAAATTCAATTTAATGACCACCATTACTTTAATTTTCAATTTGATTACAAAAATATATATAGTAGAAATTTTGTTGCAATTTAATATCTGATTAAATAATTTGAAAATTTCTGTTCCAAAATATTTGTTTAAAATGTAAGATTTTAATTTACAAAATTTTAAAAATATTATATAATTAATTAAATTTGAAAAATACTTACTAATAAGCACCGTTTTCGTTGAATTATCTGAAGATGTTGAGGAACAGCTTTCGTTCACGGAACTTTTATCCTTGTACATTTAGATAAAACAGAATTTTTTATTAAAAACACCTCTCAAAACTACCTTTATTTTGTATAAATATTTTCTTGTTGTTGTTGTTGTTGTTTTCTTTTCAAATTAATTTTCTTTTTAATATTTTGTTTATTAAATATTTTTCTCTGTTTAAATCATTTAATTGCAATTAAAATTAATTTTCACTGTTTTTATTATTTTATTTCAATTCCTTTTTTTTTTTTTAATTCTTATTCGAAAGTTATTTATAATCTGAAATATAATAAAATTATATAAAATTATTCATTAATTTATTTAAATTATTAAAATTTTTTGTAATTTAATTGAAATATTAATAATTTCGTTATATTTTACTAAAATATTAAAATAATATTTAAAAATATAGCAAAAGTCAGGATCTTATATAGTTAAATTGTTATTATTGTGAAAAAAAAAAATTATTAAAATAATAATGTTAACCCATTAAAAGCACCAGTATTAGTTTTTATTCTTGAAATTTAATAATTTTTTCAGTTCTTGTTATAAATATAAAATAATATAAAATTTCTTAATAAAAAATTCATATTTTCTTGATAAATTACTAAAATTCAGTCAAATCGTTTCCGAGATTTAGACTGTACTGTATGTATGCAGTATAACCGCTCAAAATGGGTTGATGAGAAGAGATAAAATTGAAAATATTATTAAATTCAGTTAAATTGTTTCCGAAATTTGGGCTCTACTGTATGTATACAGTATAAACGCTCAAAATGCGTTAATGAGCTAGATAATTCCAAAAATTATTATTCAATTTATATTTCCAAACTGCTACACAACTGTTTAATTACATTGTATAAAAATTAACTAAAATTTAATATAAAACATTTTTTATTACTAATATAATTTTCATTTTTATATTCATTATGGAAATTGAAATTTTTCAAAATAATAAAAATAAAATAAAGAAGAAAACAAAAATTTTTTTAATGTCTTTTTGATGTTGCAACCATTAATTTACGTGCAGCATATTATTACAAGATGAAAAGAGAAAAGAAATAAATTTTTGTAATTTTAAATTTCTGCAGTTTTTTTTTTATGTGCGGTAGCAAACGGAAACCGGATGAAATTAACATATTCTTTATGGGTATGCAATGCTGCACTTTTTTCTTATTTCTTTATTCTATATAAAAATCTTGAAATAATGTCATAACTTCTAACGTACTTATTTCAGTTCCAGCTCTATTGTATTTTTTTTACTAATGTAACAAAAATATTTTTTAATATTTTTTTCTTGTTTATTTAATTTTTGTTTTTTTTTTTTTGAGTAAAATGTAATTTTTCATAATAAATAATTATATTTTACATTCTGGCTTTTTTATTACTTTTATACAATATTTTATGTTCTTTCAAAAAAAAAAATTATTGTTGTACAAAAAATTTATCTTGCAATAAGGATTATCTCATAGTTTTTTTTTAATTTTCTTTTTATATTTTGTATACATGTAGGAGAGAAATAAATGAAAGGGAATTTTTGTTAACATTGTTATACTTTATTGTGTTTTTTTTTTCTTTTTTGTGAAATTTACCTTAAATGCGTGGTAAATTATGTATAAAATTCGGTTATATATATATATATACAATATTTAATGTAAAACATCTGTAGCAAGAGGACAAATGTCTTTAAATCAAATTGGATAGTTTTAAAATTAATTAAACTCAAAAAAATTAAAGATATTTTAGAAGATTATGAAGAGCAAACAAGCCAAAATCAAAAATATAGCAAATTGAGCATTATGGTTTTTATTCAAAAATTTCGTTTCTATAATTAGTTTTGAGTCGGTTACCTGATTTTGTTAACATTTTGTTAATTTCTAAGAATTCGGAAGCGAAACTATAAAAAAAAAACCGAATTCCAAATCCGGATTTATTTGAATTGAATAAAATTGTGCCATGGATTATATAGAATTTAATATGGAGAATTTAATTATAATATTTACTCAATTTTGTTCTTAATTTAACTAATTTAACTAATTAAACGGTATTATGAATTAAAATACCTGTAAAGTGCTGAGAAGAAATTTAAATTAAAATTATTTTGTAAGAAATTGCAAACTAAAACTTATAACAATATTAATTTTGGAAATTGAGTTAAAAAAATTCGAAATTTACATATTATTTTCGTTGTAACTTTATATTTAATTAAGATATATTAATAAAATTTCTACAGAATATAGCCTAAGTCATAGGAAACTTAAATATACAATAAAACTGAAAAATATAAAATTTGATTTAGACGGTTTTGGTTTTCGGTTACAAATTTTCCTTAAAATGTATGTTATATATACCTATCTATATATACCTATATAAAATGTATATAATATTTATTTAATAAAATTACGACAATGTTAAACATATACAAAAAGCTAAAACGAAAGTTATTTTAGAGTTAAGATTGTATAGAGGCAAAAAAAAAAAGAAAAACACAAAATAAAAATGGAAAAAATTTTCCTTTTAATGGAAAAATAATATTTTGATCCATTAAAACTTGTAGGTAATAGAAAAAAAACAAGAAAACTGTAGATTTATATTGCAAAAGAAAAATTATTATTATTCTTCCACCTCGCTCCCTTCTTCTGATTTATGTACATTTTCTCTAATAGCGTTGTATATGAATAGCATTGTATATGAATAGCATCTTATTTTATAACACTCAGTTATATGACTTCAAAATAGTTATACACATAAAGACTTTTATATTCTTTTTAAAATGAGACACACAATACCATAGTAAATCTTCATTGTTTAGACATTGTTTAAGATTTTAAGGCTGAATTCAAAGTGTATAATAAAAGTAAAATGATTTTTTTTTTATTTAATATAAAATATTGTGTAGGTCATGGCTTTATATAGGTATATACAAAATATAGTTATATGACAAAGCATTTCTTATATATACTAATAAAATAAACATTAAAATTGGAATTTTTCATTTTTAGTTTTGAAAAGTATAACAATTTTAAATTGGAAAAATTGAATTTTCATTCCCAAAATTTAAAAATTATTAAAATTATTTGAAAATTTATAGGTAAATATGGCATAATTTAATTATAATTTTTAAAAATTAAATTTGAAATTAAATTTTACACTTATGAAAATATTAATATGTGGAAAAGAACCTCATTTAGAAGCTCAAATTTAAAAAAGTAGAATAAAGGCATTTTATTTAACCACACCAATCCGACATTTTTTTTAAACAACAACACTGCGTATAATATTATTTGATATTGTTGTAAGTTTTAAATTTAAATTATCTTATTGTATAATTTGTTATATGCAGAAATTTAAATGTTTACTGGCTCATTTGTTTCAACAATGATATAACTCAAAGAAAATATAGTTCCTGAATTATTTATAGAAAAAATAAGTATTTAAAATATTTCTTTCTTGTGAAAAAACACTATTTCTTTAGCTTGAAAATTCTTGATTTTTCCAAATGTTAAAATTTTGAGTTATTTCATTGTTGCAACAAACAAGCGACATATTTTTTTCAACAACACGTATAACATATACATTTAGTTTAGTTTTTGTGGGTGTAATAATCTCAAAAAAATTTTCTAATAAATTGTATAAAACAAGTGATATTAATAGTTTTAAATTTGTTAAATCATCATTTAATTTCATAGTATAGAGGATGAATTTAAAATATGTATGTATGCACATGTAAAAATATATATATTGTATATTATATAACACATAAAATTTAATTCCTTACGTAAATGACTAAATAATTATTAAATTTACAAAAATTTTCTATATTATGAATAGGATTTATAGTATAAAGATTTTGAAATAAAATTTATAGTAGGCTGACATGATATATTTGACCTTCACTAGTTATATTTAAATATTTTTACAAAAATATTAACGCTCTTAATGAATTATTAACAGTGTTTTGTCAAATATATTAAATTTTTCGATTTAAAACAAGTTCATCATAGGTTTCTTTCAATATTATTTGAAATTAACCTCAAAATATTTTAATAACAATCATTCCTCTAAAATACTTTTTAGTTTCTTAATTATTGTCATCTCGAAAATTTTATTATATTTTTAAATAACCTTATAATCTTTATTTTCATTTACAGTCATTTAACAATTTCATTTTCTAAGAAAACATACATATAAAATCAAATTTTCTAATGGTTATTTAAAAAACAAAAAAAAACCAAGTCCAATAAACTTATGCAATAGCAAAAAATTAATTTTTAAAACTCGCACTCTTAATTCTAATTTGTTTTGATTTGTGGTGATTTTTTTTTATTTTATTGCGTATTATTTTTAAAAAAAAATTAAAAATGACAAAATAACTAGAATTAATAGAAAACAATTTTTAGTGCCGAAAATTTAATTTTGAAAATTTCATTTTAAAAATTATCATTAAAAATTAGACAAGTAGAATGGATAAAGTAATCAAAAATAAAAATTGTTATTTTGTGGTTTCACATTTATAATTTGAAATGAAAATGTTATTTTTATAATCCTTGAAATCCTTGACTTTTTGAAATTTCTTTTGATTGTGATATCATAATAATACGAGTATATACAAACGCAATTACAATATATGCGAGAATTTATTATACGCATTGAATGTGTGGTAGAATGAGAATATTAAAAATAATTTCTTAAAATTAAATTAATCATTTTAATGTTTCAAATATTATTTCCAAAATTAAGTAATTTTTTTTTTTAAACATTTTAAATAATTAAAATAAATTTTATTTGATTGTACAAGTTTTTTGTTTGAAATTGAGTGTAGGAAGTTCAAATCAGAACAAATTAAAAATTAAATTAAGAAAATTTTTCATGAGAAAAAGCAGAAAATTAATTGTCAATTTTTTTTTAATCAAATTATTTAAAATAAAATCAAAAATTTCTTGAAACCATCATCATTAAAAATTAGATTTGTTATACGAAAAGAGTTTTCGTTTTGGATATATAAATTAATTTATTGTACATGTATGACAGTTTTGTTATAAAATTATAATTTTAATATTGTTTTTGATTTGAAAAATTGTGCGTAAAATTTTGATATTTCAAAAAAAATATCAAAAGATTTTTAGTTTTAAATACTTAATATTTGATTACCAAACTGTTATGTATGAATATAGAATGTTTTTCAAGAATCGATAGTATTCTCGTTATAGAATGATAGTAAGGGTATCCAAAATAATAAAAATTAATAGAAAATTTTTCTTTGTTTACTCTTCATCGAATTGAGGAGCTTATGTGAGCTATTTAAAACTGTTTTTGTGAAAAATATTCAATTTTTACATTTCCAATTATAATCCGGAAAATATGACGGGTAAAATAAATGCTCATGAAATTCTCCTTTAATAATTTTTTTTTTTATTAACGAAATATTCAAGTGCAAAATCAAAATTTTTAACAACTTTTTGGAACAATTTTTCAAATTAATCAAAAATTAAAATTTATTTTAATATAAGAACGTCATAAAAATTAAAATTAAACTCTCAATTCTTAAAAATTATTATGTAAATCAAAATATCTTAAATCTATAATAATTGTAAATTCAGAATCATTTTTAAAATTTAATTTACAAATTTTAAACTTCGAATATGTGCATAAATTATACAAATATTTTGATTAAATTTATTTTTATAAAACAATATGAATTCGGAAAAAATGAAATTTTATTCATTATTATTATAATTTTGTTTTTTTCTTTTTTCTTAAATAAACTTATTCATATTTGACATTTAATTCAAAAATTATAATGAAAAATCACCAATTTTCATTAAGTTATTATTAAAAAAAAATTTCATTAAATTTTAATTGGAAAAAAAACAAAAATAATTTTTTAAAAACAATGGTTATATACTCTAGCTTATACTCATGCATGTGTGCATACATACGAGTACATACATTAGCATAGTTTATATAATTATAATTTCATGTACAGAAATTCATATATAAATAAATTTTCATGTGAATCCTTTTCTTTACATTTTACTCTCTGACACTAACATGATTGAATGATTTAAAACCGAAAATAATAATAAAAAAAAAATTCAATTTTCATAAATTTTCATTTAACTACAAAAAAATATATTTATAATCCTTTTAATAAAAATTTCAATTAATTATGTTTTGTTTGTGGTTTTTGTTTTATAAAATTAATTTCTAATATAATTTTTAATTGTCCATTTTGAAAAATTCTAAAATTTTTTTTGCTACTATTTTATTAATTTTCATGCAAGTTAAAATTTACTTTAAATTTACTTTAAATTTTTATAAATTTTGATTGTCACAAGTTCACTGTTAATATTTTTCCTTAACATTAACATTCCTGTTGTTGCTAATATTTCCTTAACATTTTCATTACGTTATACATCTAAAAAGAGAAAATGAGAGAAAAAAAATATTAATCATAAAAAATATTATTTAAAATTTAATTAATTTTTTTAATATTATTCAAAAATAAATTTTAATAATTTTTTTGTCTTTATTTTTTAATTTATTTACTCAAATTTGCATTTTTCACAGAAAATCTGTGCATTTCAATTGCTAGAATTTAATAAGAAATAAAATATTTTGGTGAGTTGCAAAAGTCCCCTATAAAATAAATCACACTCACCTTTAAAATAAATAGGTGAGTTTTCAATAAGAAATGAGCAACTAGTGACAATTTATTAAGAGTACTCTAATAAAATTTATTATATTTCGCATTATTATCGTAAAATTTCTAAAAATTTAGTTAAGTTGATTTGGTACAAAATTGGGCTGTTCGAAAATTTCTATTATCTGTTTAAAACAATTATTTTAAGTGAATTGTTCTGCATTTGGACTATTTTAAGTTGATATATAATTAAAATGACAAAAATGTTCTAACAATACATAAACTGGTCAAATTAATGTTTAGGCACAGAAACTTAAATGTTCATTGTTTGAATGGTTAAATTGTTAAATGTGAATTATTTAATTGATATTTGAATATATCACTTAGTAGTTAAGTACTAATCGCAATAAAATTGAAAAAAAAATTCTACGATTATTATTGTTTTCAAACACAATTTTAGCATGAACCGCACAGGAAATATTTTTTTTTTATTCCAAGATGACAGTAAGATAAAATGAACTACTGACACGAAAGAGTTAAATTTTTCATATTAAATTGAGTAAAAAATGTGTACTCTAATTTATAAAATATTAAAATATGTCACATTGTTTAATTAAATTTCATTCTCTTTTATCTCTTAATCGTAAACACAATTACTTAATCAACGTATGTTCTAATAAACAATAACACAAACAATTTTAATAGAAAAATTAATCAAATTTCCCAGTTAAAGTTGACAAAAAATCGAAAATATAAAACCAAGGCACAAAATGTATTATGAATTAAAAATTAAATAAATTTTCAATATAAATACAGAATAACTACTCTGACTACAGCACAAATCACATAAATTCAAAAAGGATAATAATTGACAAAATTCACTTTAATATACAAACAAAATTCTTCTCTATAATTTCTCTCAAATCTAAACTTTGTCAGCTATTTATATACAATATAATCATGTACTTACTATGCACGTCCGAAAAAATTTAATTATAAAAACAAACCTTATTATATATGGAAAAAAAAGATTTCATATAAGTTAATATTTGAAAATTGTTAGAATTTTTTTCAAAAAAAAAAAGTTAATGTTTATAAATGTGAAAATTGTTAAAAACATTTTATGTGAAAAACGTGTCCTTTTATATAACATATTCTCCAATGGTCATGTATAATATGTTATACAATATTGAGAATTCGATTATTTGAAATACCCATAAGTATATTGATAAAAATTTCGTGATTTTTATATTGTAAGAGGTTTTTTGTCCAAAAATGTTTAGAAGGTAGTGAATGAAGTACTATAAATATGGTAGGAGGCGGTATTTTGAGTGTTGTAGTAGGGATTGAAAGGCAGCGATTATTATATGACGTGAAAGTTATATGAACAACAATGGCTTGTTTGTCAATGGTTTGATAATTTTTAAGGCTTCATTATAGGCCGTAAGTTTTAAAGAAAACTATATAAGTTTTTCCCGCAAATATAAACGATCTAATGAAGTTCCAGTTCTAATTCACATCAAATATTAATTCGGTATTTGGAAATACGATATGAAATTTTTTACGATATATACGATATAAAAAAAATTTAATAATTTTACGATATGAAAATTGTGCACATTTAATTCCACACACAATATAGAGCTGGCACATTTTTAAAATTTGTCATATAGTTCTGCAAACAAGACAGATTCCAATGCCATACTGTTCATTTAGATAAAAGAGCTCTCTTTAAGGTTTTTTAAAATTTGATAATTACTCTGGACAATCATGTATTCAGTTCACTTCCTTTCAATTATTCAGTTTGGGGTATAATCGTGTGCATATTTTAACACATTTATATTATTGAATTAAATCAAAGTAAATTGTTAATTTTTTATGTCTTACAATTCACAAGAATTTTTTTTTTTTTATTATTCATTAATTTTTAATTTATAAAATCTGATAATAACTGGAACGTGGAATAAATTTACTGAATTTTTCATTAATTCATTAAATCGGAATGATATTATTTATTTGTTTGAATTTTTAAATTAATTTTCCAGTGAACAATAAATAATGAGTTTTATAAATTCATTCACACATGCATAAAAAATATTTTGATGGCTTCTTTTTAAATACTTAAGAGATTTGTGTAAAACAAGAATATGATGTGGTCGATATAAAGTCAACTCCGATTATTAATTGTGCAAGTTATTGGCTGCAATAATTGGAGCTATTAATTGACCCCCACCTCAATTATTAATGACAAAATTGATGAAAGTTGTAATGGACGTTCGAATGTGTAAGAAAAAAAATGGAAATATAGATTTTATCCTTAAAGAATCTAGTTTTTACATAGAATTTTTATGATTTTCCAAAAACATTGTTTAATTATTTTTAATTGAAATTAAAATATTTACTAATATTTTTATAATTATTTCATTTAAAGCCAGCCAAATTGCTTGTGTATAACAATAAAATCACAGAAAACAATTGGCCAGAAATATACGTTGCTATATGCGGTGATGTAGTTTAGTCTGCAGATCAATGCAGACTTGTTATGTGAATATACCGAGAATATTTGAAGTTTGTTATGAAAACAATACCTTACTCTCCTACATATTCAATATAGTGAAAATTTGAAAAAAAAGGATACTTTTTTTCAGTTCAATGTTTAAAAAATTTTGGATATATTTCGTGTGCAGTAAATGATCTTTAATTTCACGTGCCGCAATTCAAATTAATTTTGTAAAAAAAAAAATAACAAAATTTAAGTTTTTTATTTCGCCCTTTTTTTTTAAAAACCAAAACTGATGAAATACTTGTTTACGTTACTATTCCAAATAACCTCAACTAAAATGTTAAAAAATGTGAGAATTCTAAATTAAGAAAAACTTTTGATCTTAAAATTAAAAAAAAAATTAAATTTTCTTTTCATTTGGCATGATTTAGGTTTAATGATGCCAAATCATATATATGATAAAAATAAAATAAAATTCCCGATTGACTGTTATTAGTTGGGCTTGGGATACTTAAGAAAAAACCTCATTGAAATGAAAAAAATTTGAAAGAAATTAAAAACAAAAAATTGATCGTCACCTCTTGGGTATTTGGTTTTTTGTTTTTTGCTTAAATTTACCTAATAGTCGTGTTCTGGAAAGATATCTTCGTGATTCGGATGATAGCATTAAGCCTCATTAAAATTTTTGAATCTGACGGGCTGGAGACCTTGTAACCATCACGCCACTCTTGATAACTTATGCTCAAAATGACTTACAGTAAGAGTCATAGTTTATTTTTTTACATAAGAATAATTAATTGTTCGTAGAGAACCAAGCAAAGAATAAGATACAAGACGGACAAAGCACTATAGTTATCTTTTATGACGTCGATTTTAGTTACAGCTTAAGAAGAATACATAACAATTAGGTAGGATTAATTACCAGCGTCTTCTCGTTGGCAACTCAGAAAACATTTCATGTAGCTATGCTGAAGGCATTTGTTGATTTTGTTCAAATTGCTGAAGGAGGGTAGTAGAAGCATATCTTAAACTCAGTGGGAACAGTGGAGTCCAATAGATCTTTATACCTTAATCGCCGTGCGCTTATACCCCAATTACACAATCTACAAATTATTAATTTAACACAACATTTTATTATCCATGTAGGCATAACGTAATGTGTTCCAAACTATGTGTGTGGGTATTAAACTTTCAATCACTTTGTTATTATACTTTTGTTTTGTTTTTTGTGTTAACTATTTTCTAGGCAAAAGTTCACAGAGCTAATTTAAACTTTTTATAAAATTTTAAAACCTGAAAAAATATTTTTACTTATTTTTTAGCTTATGTTTTCAACCGAAACACCAACAAAAAAAAAACTGAAACCTCAAAAACAAAAAGAGTTTTAGGAGAATGAAGAAAAAAAAATATTTTTTTTTTTCATTAATTCCAAATGTTACAGTTTTCATATCCTTAATAATGTTCAAGGATATAAAATTAAAAAAAAACAACAATTTTTTTTTTCTAATTTTCTACATAAAATTTTTTGTTTTCTTTAATTTTTAATTTTTACAACTTATGACGTTAAAATAACAACAAGAACAGTAATAATCTAATTAAATTAAGGACATTTTAATATTAATTTAGGTAGGTACCTTTGAATACCTATGTATTATATAATATGTGTGTGTTAGTGTGTAAGTGTTTGAGAATTTAAATATGATAATTAACTATAAACTAAATTTTATTTTAACTTTTATAGCTAGTTTTAATATTTTTGTTTTTTTTTTTATGAATGAGTAAACAATTTATGAAATTAAAATATTTGGAAGCAACACTCAAAGTTTACCTGTCTACTTTAGGGATATAGTTTTTAAAAAATTTATTTGAAAATGTTCGAGAAATTTAAATTACAGCGTTATAAGCAGGTTATTTACAAATTTAGCTGAGCTAATTCTCTGTTGAATAGAAAAAATTTTATGAAATTTTTTGTAATTTGAGGAGTTATATTCTATAAATAAGAATTGCCGTTGTTTATTTTGGAATCAATAGCGGGGGAATGTGAAAAAATATTTGAAGAAATTTTTAATTATGTTATTGTTGTAAAATTTTTCAAGCTAATTCACGCTAAAGAGTGCCTTCCGTTTTTAAAGACGCAAAATCCGTTTTTAAAGAAAATAGAGTGTCCTAACAAAAGAATTTTGAAAATGTCAATAAAAGATTTAAGTCAAGCTACTAGCATTCCAATTCCAACTATTCCAACGACTTTAAATACATAAATATAAAATGTATA